CGTCATGTCCGTGATCACATCCTAGACTCTGAACAACCTTTGGTACATCAAAATGCATAAACTCATAATATAACTGTCATCGTAACCTTAAGCGTGCGGACCCTACGGGTTCGAGAACAATGTAGACATGACCGAGACACGTCTCCGGTCAATAACCAATAGCGGAACCTGGATGCTCATATTGGCTCCTACATATTCTACGAAGATCTTTTATCGGTCAGACCGCATAACAACATACGTTGTTCCCTTTGTCATCGGTATGTTACTTGCCCGAGATTCGATCGTCGGTATCCCATACCTAGTTCAATCTCGTCACCGGCAAGTCTCTTTACTCGTTCTGTAATACATTATCCCGCAACTAACTCATTAGTTGCAATGCTTGCAAGGCTTTAAGTGATGTGCATTACCGAGAGGGCCCAGAGATACCTCTCCGACAATCGGAGTGACAAATCCTAATCTCGAAATATGCCAACCCAACATGTACCTTTGGAGACACCTGTAGAGCTCCTTTATAACCACCCAGTTACGTTGTGACGTTTGGTAGCACACAAAGTGTTCCTCTGGCAAACGGGAGTTGCATAATCTCATAGTCATAGGAACATGTATAAGTCATGAAGAAAGCAATAGCAACATACTAAACGATCGGGTGCTAAGCTAATGGAATGGGTCATGTCAATCAGATCATTCAACTAATGATGTGATCCTGTTAATCAAATGACAACTCTTTGTCCATGGTTAGGAAACATAACCATCTTTGATTAACAAGCTAGTCTAGTAGAGGCATACTAGTGACACTCTGTTTGTCTATGTATTCACACATGTATTATGTTTTCGATTAATACAATTCTAGCATGAATAATAAACTTTTATCATGATATAAGGAAATAAATAATAACTTTATTATTGCCTCTAGGGCATATTTCCTTCATAATATACCGTCGGAAAGCTTATGAATAGGAGCATCTTTTTCATGTAGACATACGTTACAAATATTTGTCGTTTGAAAGCAGTTTTAAAAATGGCAAAAACAACGTCGTTTTTTGCTTGTTTTTACATGTAATCAAAGGTCAGACGTCTCGCACTAGAGATCTTGAACTTCACCGGGAGGAGCACATGAACTTTTTGCAACAAACCTTTTAAGCTTTTTGTTTTATATTCTTATATTCCTATCTGAAATGGATTTTGTGTAGTAGTTGAACTTCGTGCTATTTTCATCTTAAACTTCTGTCACGTATTTTTGTTCAACCTCTTTCACAAGAATTTGGAACTTTCTCGGACCGAGCACTTGAACTTCTAGCAACCATTTTTTCTATTTATGAGTTGTTTTTAAAAGTGCAAAAAATGGTGTTGTGTTTTTTATTTTTTGAACAGGTAAATGCTGGGTTTTAATAAACTCCGAACTTCTATGTTATTTCAATTTGAACTTCAGCTTTTTATATTGTTTTCGATTTTTAAATAAACACCAAATTTGACTACCTTCTCAATATGAACTTCATCATTGATAATTGAACAAAAACAGATATCTATGAAAATCGTAGATTTTTTTAATAAAGATCAACACTTTGTAAACTTTTTTAGTTGTTCCTTTTATTTTAATTTGAAGTTCTTCATTTTGTTCTTTCGTAAAGAGAAAAAATTTGAGCTTTTTATACACGTCGAACTTCTCAATTTTCTTAATTTGAACATCTTAGTCTTATTCCTAGAAAAAAATATGTTTTCAAATAAGCATCAAACAAATTTTTTAAAATTGAACTTTCATACTTCTATTTTTCCTAGAAACGAAAATAATTTGTTTTTTCCGTATACATCGAACTACTCTGTTTTTTATTTTAAAATTCTCAATTTTTATTTGTTTAGCACAAAGGAAAATTTGAGTTTTTAAATTCGCACTTCTTTGGTTCCTTAAACTGAACTTCTCGGGTTTTTTTTGAAACGATGAAAATCAAATGATTGTTTTTTCTACATTGAACTTATAGGATTTTATTTTTTTGAAGCAAAATTTTAGTCTTTTTAACTTTGAACTACACTATTTTTTTAATTTGAACTTCTATATTTATTTAATGGGTAAAGCATTCTTCGCTCAAAATCCTTTTTTGCAGACATCGAACTTCATGAAAGTTTTGAATCGATAAACAAACAAACTAGAACCCCATGCAAAATCTTTTTGTAATCCATATATGAAGTTTTCAATTTTCCTTGGCATGATTTATTTTGTGATAGAAAAACATAGATAGCTTGGTTGCCCAAGTGTGTGTTTTAAATTATGTTCTCGGTTAAAAATAACATATTTTCTTCCTTGGGGCATAAACACAAACACTTGTAGTGCACACGAGCAGGCAACAAGATTTGAAACTTTTCCAGTTTGTGTGCACAGACATACAACACGCACTCACACCATCAGCACATGCACACATCACTAGGACACGAACTCACCAGTGGCAGCAGGCCACAGCCCTGCGGACGTGCTTAGCGTAGAGCCATTTCACATAAGAGTTGCGGAAACAAACAAAATACGTATGAACATGTACTGAACACATATGAACACTGACTGAAAGAAGATGAACACACTGCCATTTTTTCACTTACTAGGTAATTCTAATACATGACCTTTCCACATAATAATATATGAACTTCTCAGAATATAAATTTCATTGACCACTTTTCCTAAACACAAAAGATACATGAAGGAGGTTGAAGATGTGCATGCAGGATACATCAACATGTAGGAAAGCTTCGGAAGCTCTTCACGGTGACGATTTCCACGGTGACGGCTGGGCGCAGTACGCACGAGGATCCTATCCCGACCCAACGGGAGTGACCTGGGAGGAGGAGGCACATGAGAGGTGGCCATGGACAGCCGGAACAGGAGGAGATGTAGGGCAGCGTCGGAGACTAACCAAGGCGATGCATTGGCGACGGATCCGACCGGAGCTCTGATCGGTGAACTTCCCGCGACGGCATAGTCGACCTGCAGTAGCACGGGGAGACCTACATGGGAACTGCGCCGCGGTGGGGATCTGAGGCGCCGGGGCTGGTGGCGGATCTGAGAGAAAGTGCAGCAGAGGAGGTGTCGGGGCTGGAGGGTGGCGACGGGAGTCGTGACGGAGAGGAGGTGCCGGGGGGGACGATAGGCGGCGGCCGTTGGGGAGGAGGAACGTCGGCCGTGGGGGAGGAAGCCCGCGGCCGTGGCGGAGGAGGCACGTGGCGGTGAGATCCAGGGAGGGTGGCGATGGCGGCGAGATGCATGGTGGCGGCGCGTTGTAGGGTGACGGAACGGGGGCGGCGAGATGCAGGAGGCGGCTGGAGGAGAGGCGCGCCTTGGCCGAGGAAACGGCGGCGAGAGGCACCGGATCCAGGGGGAGGGAGGCGCCGTCGCGGTGGATAGTAGGGGATCGGGGGAGGTTAGGGACGAGCGGTCGTGGGATGGTGGGGCGGTTTTTTTTTCTATAGCGGGTTGGGTAGTTCGGGAACAACCCGATCGCTCTATATAGGGCCTGATGTGATCCAAATAACCGAGATTAGAATAGTGTTGTCCTATATATAGAGTATATGAACTTTTAGCTATTTCAAAACATTGACTACATACATACTAAAATGAGTGAATGTATACACTAAAATGTGTCTAGATACATATGAATTAAGAAAAAGCTAAAAAGTCTTATATTAGGGAACATAGGGAGTACTCTCTCCGTTCGGAATTATTTGTCGCGGAAATGGATGTATCTAGATGTATTTTAGTTCTAGATACATCCATTTCCGAGATAAGTAATTCCGAACGGAGAGAGTAGATTCGAAGACACCGTCAACTATTTTTTATTCATGCAGAAAATAAACTGAAAAATGTTGAATGGAGCAAACTTTTTCTTTTGTGTGAAGTATTAACGCAAAATTGAATTGCTCAAAGTATGTTCACCACACTTCATCCACTTGGTGGAGGAAACGTATCATAATGGGAGCATATCAAAAAGTTGTAAATTCATTAGAATTGTCCGAGGGTTGGCACAAGATGTACTCTACCTTACAACAAAATTTCAAATGGGAATTCAATCTACCATTGAACAAAGGTTAGCTGCTTAATTCAATGGTCGTAAATGCACAATAGATAGAAAGAGAAAAAAATTGAGCATATCAAAAAGTTGTAAATTCATTAGAATTGTCCGAGGGTTGGCACAAGATGTACTCTACCTTACAACAAAATTTCAAATGGGAATTCAATCTACCATTGAACAAAGGTTAGCTGCTTAATTCAATGGTCGTAAATGCACAATAGATAGAAAGAGAAAAAAATTGCAATGGTTTTATTCTCTGTATAATATCTACTACTCCCCCTATACAAAAGTTGTATTAAAACAGCGACAATTAATATTAATCAGAGGGAGTATTAAATTTAACGACCAATCGCATGAAAGCAAAGAATGTCGGTAGGCAGTATTCCTAGTTCCCACCCTTGTTTTATTTACAAACATAAACTCAAGGAGTGAGGCGTTTTGCCTCCCAGAAGCATCTACACCTGCGCTGAATAAAAAAAAATCAAAACAAATACTAGAATTTTTTTTAAAAAATTCAATTTTTTTGGCATGGTATATAATTTGGTGCGTGATGTTCGGTCCAAATTTCAAATCATTTGAACATCTAAGGATATCTCGAAAAAAGGACAAATTTGAGGTCTGTTAACTAGTGTACTATTCATATATTGTTTCAATCAAATTTGTCTTTTTTGCTGAGAGCTATTCAAATGTCCAAATGCTCTGAAATACAGAGCGCATCTCACGCACCAAGTTACCTACCATGCACAAAAAATTTGATTTTTTTTTGATTTTTTGATTTTTAATGAATTATTTCTTGACCGGGTGCAGATGAGCCCGGAATCAGAATTGGATATTCGAAACTGAAGTTTCTTGTATCTGAATATATTCATGAGAATCTGTATGAACAATGCATGTGGGCATAAGAGTCTGACACCTTAATTACAACAACAAATTAAAGGTACCGCCACCTAGCTAGGAATCAAAAATGGGATACAAATCGTATCTCAAACTGCAGCTTCCGCCTAACACCATCCCTCCCTCCTTGGCGCACCCTCTCGCCAGCAGCTTACCAATGGCGGCTTCCAGGCACAGCTTGCAGTCCCCACCGGACAGGTCCTTGGTGCACTGGGCCAGCCCGTGCAGTCTCCGCGTCCCGGCGACCGCCTCGGCCGCCCCGGCGGCGAACAGCAGCGGCGAGAGGTACGCCGTCCTCGTGAGCCTCTTCATCATGCCGGCGACCTCGTTATCGAACTCGTCCGACCTCGCCGCGCCCTGGACGCCGCCCGGCACGACGGCACTGTGGTCGGCGTCGACCTCGCCGAAGAAGTGCCCGTCGGAGTAGCGGAGCATGCAGGCGTCGAGCCAGACGACGGCGTCCTTCTTGGACGAGCAGAGGCGCCGGGCCTGGGCGCCCGCGGCGCGGATGCACTCGGCGCACGTCGCCCTGGCGACGTCGCCGCGGCAGAGCGCCAGGCCGTGCACGCCCCCGGAGCTGCCGATGTCGAACCCGATGCCCGGGGCCTTGGTCTCGAGGAGCGACATCAGCTGGCGCAGGCTGCTGGCGAAGGGGCTGTCGGCGGCGAAGCTGCCCGCGCCGGAGCAGGACGCGGCGAGCGCGTGGTCGGAGCCGGCCGCCGGTGCTACAAGGAGGAGGAGGAGGAGAGCGAGCGTGGCTTCAAGAATCGCCATGGCCGGCCGATGAGTGGAGCAAGTTGGTTGCACACTTGCACGGTGTCGATATATAAACAAGTGTGGCCGTGAGCGAAGGAAGGGAAGAAGCACCAAGGCGACCGGACCGGCGTGGTCTAAAACGTTGGACGCGTGGAGTGGTTGGGGCTGGAGCCGGACCATGGTGGGTAGGCTGGGCGCTTCCTGGACGAGGTCGCATGGGCCGCCGCTACTCGATCCGCGGCCCGGACTGGGCAAGCCGCCAATCAAGAGAAGTCGTGCGAGAGCGACCCGCCAACGCTGACGCTGACCCGGCCGGACAGAGACTGGTGTATGCCATTTTTTCGGGAGTCTAGACATTTTTTCTTTCCAATTGAGTGCTGTCCCCAACCGTTTCGTGGACGCTTTCAGACGTTCGAACGGGCGAAGCGATGGACGAGACTTGCATGCTTTCCTCCCGTGTGCCCATCCGTATTCTCGCATACGTGGCTTCATTTGATTGAAACAAAATAAAGTCCGGCCTCACCCCCTTAAAATCAGGGGGAGATGATTAGATTAGAAAGAAAAAAAGGAAAAAATACAACCGTTGGATGAGGTAGGAGCACGGATGGGAGCATGGGAAGGGAACAGGCAAGCCGGATCCGTGAAGTGATAGCAAACCTGGAGGCTTTGCCGGAATCTCGACATCCGCCTAGCAAACCTCGAGCTTGGCTCCGGCCATTCGAGCACGCGACAGTCGCGGGAGAGCACAACTCTGCTCCTCTGTGTTAGAGTTTGAGAAATATTCTTCATGTAATCTTTTTTCGACGATGGAAACGGTAGGAAAACCTCCTACTGCATATATATTAAAATGGTAAACAAGTTACAAGTTACATTCTTGTACATTGAAGAAGGGATTTTTTTGGGGTGTGTGTGGGGGGGGGGAGGGGTTGTTGGATTATGGATGGGCTTAGGCCCATATAAGACACTAATCCCTGGTTAATATTGACGCCACATGTATGAGATGGCAGGTGGTGGGAAATTTAGTCCCACCTTGCTAGTTGAGAAGAGTTGAGACCCCTTTATAAGGGCTGCTCTACCACTTGTCATTGGGAGCTTGGGAAGAGGAGTGGTACACGCGCGCTCCTCCTCCGTCGCCCGCCTCGCCTCGCCTCGCCTCGCCTCGCCTCGCCTTGGAGTGGGCCGACTCGGTCGTGGGTCTCCGCAAGGCCCACGACTTTCTTCCTTACGGACTATATAAGAAGGCTCTGGCCAGTGAAGTAACCTAGTTCGGTTCACTCACTCCCTCTCGCGTGACCTAGCCGTCATCCCGATCCGTCCCCAACTTCGTCCGCCTCTACTTCCCCTGCATCGACACCATGGCCGACGATGCCGAGGCTGCTGCTGCCGCCGCCACGTTGGCCTGGCCAACCAGAGGGTATGATCTGTTCATCCCTCGTTTACTCGTACTTATGCTAGCCGTATATGTGCTGCTCATAGAAGGTTCGATATTCTGTACGTGCTAGTATGCTTAGGTATTGCTATGAGATGCATACCTTTTATGCCATGCTTATTGTTTACTCGTGGATAAATCTAATCGGAAAAGTGCTAATATTTCCAACAATCCAAAAACCTTATTTTAGGCACTTTTCGATTCAAGGCTTTGCTGCTACTCTGAAACCGGAAAAGTTTACTGGGATGCATTTTAAGCGTTGGCAGACAAGGACCACCTTGTGGCTCACAGCGATGAACGTGTTCTGGGTTGGTGGTGTGTCCCTCACAGAAACGATTGCTCCTGAACAGGAGAAGGCGTTTAGAGAGGCAACCACAATCTTTCTGGGAGCAGTTCTGAGTGTGATTGGAGACAAGTTGGTCGACGCCTATATTCATATGGGCGTTGCCAAAAACTTGTGGGATGCGCTCGAAGTCAAATTCGGCGCAGCTGATGCTGGCAGTGAGCTATATGCCATGGAGCAGTTCCATGATTACAGAATGGTTGATAACCGTTCTGTATTGGACCAGGCTCATGAGATACAGTGCATTGCTAAGGAGCTGGAGCTCCTGAAGTGTGAGTTACCGGACAAGTTTGTCGTGGGTTGCATTATTGCAAAACTTCCTCCTAGTTGGAGGAACTTTGCTACTTCTCTCAAGCACTTGAGACGTGAATTCTCTATTGAGGATGTTGGTCATCTCAGTGTTGAGTAGAACTCGAGAGCAAAGGACTCACATGTGAAAGGGGCAGAGGGTTCTTCTAGCGCCAATGTGGTGCAGAAGAGCTTCCACAAGTTCAAGGGAAAGAACTCTGTCCAGCAGAATACTACCTTTAAGAAGAAGGGTAAGAAGAAAGACAAAAAGAGAGATGGCTGCTTTACTTGTGGTTCAGATGAACATTGGGCAAACAAGTATAAGAAGCCAACACATGACTCCAAGTCTGTGAATGTCACTCTGAGCAACAATGATGCGGCATCTGGGTATGGTAATCTGTTTACCATACTTTCAGTTTGTCAGTCCACCGATTGGTGGATTGACACGGGCCAATATTCATGTGTGTGTGCTGATGTGTCTTTGTTTTCTTCCTACCAGGTCGCACGAGATTGTTCCATCCTGATGGGGAATGGCTCGCATGCTTTTGTTCATGGTGTTGGCACGATAGATCTGAAGTTTACTTCGGGAAAGATCGTGCAACTGAAGAACGTGCAGCATGTCCCCGCCATAAAGAAGAATCTCGTTAGTGGCTCCCTTCTATGTAAAGAAGGGTTTAAGTTAGTATTTGAGTCTAACAAAGTAGTCATATCTCGGTATGGACTATTTGTTGGAAAAGGATATGATTGTGGTGGTTTGTTCCGCCTTTCCCTGGAGGATTTCTGTAATAAAGTCGTGAACCAAATTCATTCTAATGTGAACGAATCCGAGGTTTGGCATTCACGTCTTTGTCACATAAATTTCGGTTGTATGACGCGGCTAGCTAAGATGGATTTAATCCCGAGCTTCACTTTAGCCAAAGGCTCTAAGTGCCATGCGTATGTGCAAGTTAAGCAACCTCGTAATCCTCACAAGCTTGCGAAGGAGAGACACCTGGCACCTCTAGAGCTCATACATTCAGATCTCTGTGAGATGAATGGTGTGTTGACTAAAGGTGGAAAGAAATACTTCATGACTCTGATTGATGATTCCACTAGATTCTGCTGTGTGTATTTGTTAAATACTAAGGATGAGGCTCTACACTACTTTAAAGTCTATAAGGTTGAAGTTGAGAACCAACTTGAGAAGAAAATAAAACGAGTCCGGTCTGATCATGGTGGAGAGTACTTTTCTAATGAGTTTGATTTATTCTGTGTGGAACATGGTATTATTCATGAGAGGACGCCTCCCTACTCACCCCAGTCAAACGGGGTTGCCGAACGGAAAAACCATACTCTAACTGATTTGGTTAACACCATGTTAGATACATCGGGTTTATCCAAGGCATGGTGGGGGGAGGCTGTATTGACATCTTGTAATGTCCTGAATAAAGTTCCCACAAAGGATAATGAGACTACTCCCTATGAGCAATGGGAAAAGAAAAAAACTACACTCTCTTACTTGCGCACTTGGGGCTGTTTGGCGAAAGTCAATGTGCCGATAATCAAAAAGCGCAAGTTGGGACCAAAGCCCGTGGACTGTGTTTTTCTTGGCTATGCCAAGCATAGCGTTGGCTATAGATTTCTAGTGGTGAAATCTGAGGTACCTGACCAGAAGGTCGGTACAATTATAGAGTCTAGGGATGCTACATTCTTTGAGGATATTTTCCCCATGAGAGATATGCAAAGCAATTCTAGACTGGAATCTGATGAGACTCCTGAACCTGCTATTCCGATGGAATATTGTGAACATAAAAGTGATAAGCGTTCCACGGAGGATGACGAGGAAGCTCCTGCTAGGAGCAAGAGACAGAGGACTGCAAAGTCCTTTGGTGATGATTTCCTCGTGTACCTCGTGGATGATGATACTCCTAGCTCCCTTTCAGAAGCTTATGCATCTCTGGATGCTGACTACTGGAAGGATGCGGTCCGTAGTGAGATGGATTCCATCTTGGCTAACGGGACATGGGAAATCACTGATCGTCCTTATGGTTGTCGACCATTAGGATGTAAGTGGGTGTTCAAAAGGAAGCTTAGGCCCGATGGTAGTGTTGAGAACTACAAGGCTAGGCTTGTGGCCAAGGGTTATACCTAGAAAGAAGAAGAGGATTTCTTTGACACTGATTCACCTGTGGCTAGACTGACAACCATTCGAGTGTTACTCGCTTTGGCTGCCTCGCATGGTCTTCTCGTTCATCAGATGAACGTTAAGACAACTTTCCTTAACGGAGAGCTAGACGAGGAAATTTACATGCAACAGCCGGATGGCTTTGTAGTAAATGGTCAGGAAGGAAAGGTGTGTAAGCTAGTGAAATCTTTGTATGGCCTGAAACAAGCGCCTAAGCAATGGCATGAGAAGTTCAACACTACTCTGACATCTGCTGGCTTTGTTGTGAACGAAGCTGACAAATGTGTATACTATCGCTATGGTGGGGGCGAAGGAGTTATACTGTGTCTATATGTCGATGACATACTGATATTTGGGACCCACCTCAAGGTCATTGAGGAGGTCAAGTCTTTTCTATCTCACAACTTTGAGATGAAGGACCTGGGTGTGGCTGATGTTATCCTGAACATCAAGCTACTGAGAAATTCTGAGGGTGGAATTACACTTTTGCAATCCCACTATGTTGAGAAGATTTTGGGCCGTTTTGGATGTTCAGACTACAAACCTTCTGCAACGCCATATGATCCTAGCGTGCAGATTCGAAAGTTCGAAGGCACGGTTGTAGATCAATTGAGATATTCTCAAGTGGTTGGTTCCCTGATGTACCTAGCATGTGCTACTCGTCCTGACATCTCATTTGCTGTGTGCAAACTGAGCCGGTTTGTTTCCAATCCGGGAGATGTGCATTGGCATGCTGTTGAGCGAGTGATGTGCTATTTGCAAGGTACTGTGAACTATGGAATTCACTATTCTGG